TTGTATTTTGAAAACTATGAACTAATTATAAAGGAAATGAAAGAAGATCTAAATAAATGTAAAGATATCCTAATTCATGGATCATAAGATATTTTAACTGGGGGTATTACTGAAATTGATGTATAAATTTTTTTTTAAAGATTTATCTATTTATGCATATAGAGCTGGGGTACAGACCAGGGGCAGTGAGAGGATTCACCAGACACAGAGTGGGGAGCACAACAGGCCAACTGATAAAGTATACTGCTGAGGGGAGCAGCAGGTGGGTCAGGAAAGGTCTGCCTCGCCATCTGGGTCACCTCCGGGGTGGGGATCAAACTGATGCTGAAGTGGCTTTAGCTTCTCAGTGCTGTGCTTTAACCTGCTGTGCCAAGGAGGGCCGATGTATAGATTTAATGTAAAACCTACTAAAATTGTAGTTGACTTTTTTGCAGAAATTGGAAAGTTCATTCTAAACTTTAGTTGTGCATGCAAAGGACCCTCAATACTCAAAAGAAGTTTTAAAAAGAAGAGCACATCTGAAGTATTCCTCATTTCCCAATTTCAAATCTTGTTGCAAGACCTCAGTAATAAAGACAGTGCAGTACTGGCACAAGAATAGACATGTAAATAATAGAATAAAATTGAGAGTGAGAGGATGAATACTTTCTGGCAATTGATTTTCCATAGGGTTGCCAAGATAATTCCATGTGCAGAAAGTAGTCTTTTTTCTTTAATTCACTTAGAAGAATTAGGGTGTAGGCCAAAGATTCTGGGGAGTGAGAGGATTAACCAGACAGAGTAGGGAGCAGAACAGGCAGATCTGCTAAATACATTACCAAAGGGAGCAGTAGGGGGAATGTTTGCTTTGCCATGTGGGTTCCCTTTCTGTTGGCCTGGTTTCAAACCATCAAGGTGGTAGTACTGAGACTTAACCCCTAGGCTACCAGAGAGATCCAGAAACAGCAGTCCTTTTAGCAAATGTTGCTAAAACAATCAGATATTCTTATGTAAGAGAACTAAGTTAGATCAGTTGCAGTCCCCAAACAAACAATTAGCTCAAAGTGACCTAAATTTAAAAGCTAAAATCTACAAAGCTCTTGGAGGAAAACATAGGAGTCTACACAGTGATGTCTAGTTAAACATAAGATTTTTCTTAGATACTACCTCAAACCCCACAAGTGCCAAAAGAAAAACAGTGAATAGTAATAGTGTTTCATCACATGTGTTGCAAATGGAACCAATAGAAAAGTGAAAAGGCAATCTGCAGAATGAGAGAAACATTTTCAGATTGCATATTTAATAATGGATTTGTATCTAAGACATATAAAGAACTTTTACAGTTCAATAATAAAAAGATAAATAATTCAATTAAAAAAAGGTCACAACATCAAACCAGGCATTTGTCTAAAGAAGATGTACAGATTACCATTATGCATAAAAAGATGCTCATCATCATTAGTTTCTAGGGAAATGCAAATAAAAACCACGATGAGGTACAACTTCTTATTCATCAAGGTAGCTTAAAAAAAAGTCAAGAATGTGGAGAAATTGGATTCATAGTGAAATGTTGTTGAAAACAGAAAATGGTACATCCACTTGGCTAAGAGACTGAATGGTTCCACATACACACAAAAAGTTAAGTAGATGAAGCATATGACCCTCATAATTCCACTCCAAGGTATTTGCTCAAGGGAAGTAAAAACATACATTTCCATAGTAACTAGTAAACCAACGTTTATAGCAGTAGAATACTAATATCCAAAAAGTGACTATTGCTCATCAACTGGCAGTTGAATAAGTGAAATGTGATATAATCATACAATGGTGTATTATTCAGTCATAAAAGACAATGAGGTAAAAGTACTAGACATGTTACACCTTGGGTTAATTTTAAAAACATAAATACACGTAACAAAAGTCCATCACAACAGACCACATATTGTATGATTCTATTCCTATGAAATGTCCAGAATAGGGAAATATATAGGACAGAACATAGTTAGGGGGCTTCTTTTGGAGGATGTTGCAAAATTAGAATGGTGGCAGTGATATAATGTTGAGTAAATTAAAAAAACAGCGAGTCTGTACCACTGCAAGTTACCAATTATATGGTATGTGAATTATGTATCAGTGTATCCTTTAAGGCATTGACTCATGTTTATTGTAGAAAATTTAGAAAATAACAAAAATTAAAAAAAAAAAGAAAGAGGCAATCTAATGATGTCCTATACCCCTGAATTAGCAGGTTTTTGGATGTTCTGTCTTGTGGATGCGAAATATAAAAACCTTTTTGGTAGCGCTAGGGGTATGAATCACATACATATAATCCCTGCTTTGTTCATTTAAATTGAGAAATTTGGTAACGTCTGACTTAACCCTGCTTATGTATTCATGCTACTTTTGGATTTTAAGTGGCCTCTATATACATTTCTTATTTGTAGCTCATTTACTTGTAGTTATGACTCATCCATGTTATAAAGTTTTGTGTTCATTTTTGAATTTTGGGTATTTTCTTAGGCAAGACTAGGGCTCTGTATTTGTTTTCTAAGGCTGCTGTAATAAGCAACCACACAATTGATGGCTTAAAACAAAAGAAATTTTGACTTGCAGCTCTGGAGGCCAAAAGCCTGAAATCAAGTGTCAACAGGATTGCTTCCTTCTGGAATTTCTGAGGAAGAATCATCCCACTCATCCCTTGAATCTCTTCCTTCACATCCCTTCTTTGCGTCTTCTGTCTTCTGTAAGGACACATCATTTGATTTAGCCCCATCTTTGCCCAGGGCTAGTTCAGCTCAAGATCTTAAATTTAATTACATTTACAAGGACCATTTTTCCTGAGAAGGCCACACACAAAAGTTCCTGATGGACGTCCTACTGCAGAAACAGTGGCATATCAAAGGAGCAGGAGGTGGCTGTGGGAGTTGACTACTAAAATGTGAGAACATTGTTTACAAAAAATACTGAGCCAATAACAAACCTAAAATTTAGTCTGCTTTTTATTTTTTGCATGCACTGGCCATTCTACACATGCAATGAAATATTTCTCCTTAATGGTGTGACTTGCCTTTGCTGCTCAATCCCCCGATATTCCCCACTACTTAGAAGCAGGATTAGTGTGTGAAGTGATGAGTTTTTCTAATTCTAATGTTATGTATTTTAGATTTAATACCCTAAGTGTGAGAAAATAGATCTTTCTAACTTCACATGGGTAATAAAAATAAATATATTAATTTCATAGGTAGGAAATGTCTTATTTTAATCTTGCTACTAGGGGGATTCAACATGTTAAATCTTGTACTGGTTGTTTTGTAATCTAGTTTTATAAATTAAAAAAAAAATCACTGTCAATATTTCTGTTAGGCTGCTTTTCTTACTGCTTTAAAAAACACTACGGTAAAGATATGGGTCTCGTATCATTGTACATTTTTCTAATTATTTCTTTTTAAATTTCTTTAGGTAACATTATTTTATTTCTTGACAGAATTTTCTTTATACTCCCTTTTGTTGTATACCAATGTTTGTTTTTTAAAACTTCCTGATTTTTGGGCTATAATCTTTGAAGAGGCTGAGAACAAATTCAGATTGTTGCAGAATGTGATAATTCTATGATAAGAACACTGTTTATTTATTTATTTATTTATTTATTTTATTTATTTATTTATTTATTTATTTATTTAAAAGTGTTAGAAATATTTCATCTCCTATATCACACAGAAAATATTACCTGCAACCTGTTGGCATGGAATCTGAGCTATGTGTAGAAACTGAATACCATCAATTTCTAGTTCCTTACTTTAAGACAAATTAGGAGCTCAAAGACCTTGGCGATTGTCTGAAACTGGGACAAAATGCATATCTGTTAATCAGTACTCTCATAAAAACTGAATCTGTGTCTTTCTCCTGCTTGGTATATAGGCTAAATTCCTGAAATTATTTATGGAGCATTTAATTGATTGAATTTTCCTTATTATAAAGATACTACATTATTTATTTTTTTTAAAAAAAGCAAATAAGGTAAATTCAGAAAGACAGATACATTCAGTTTTACCCAGCACTAGAGACAAACTCTGTTAATATTTTGCTTGTGTGTGTGAATGCATAGTATTACACATTTTGTTGTTTAACATGAATGTTTTACAGGGTCGAAATATTTGTATGTTTATCATCTTAATGACTGCATAGTATTCTATCCTATGCATATGTTCACATTCATTTAATGATTTCCCAATTGTATATTTAGTTTATCTCTAATTTGTTGCTTTTATGTTGCAATTATAAGCACTGTGGATAGCCTTGTATATATTTTCTTTATGCAATTCTTATTAGTACCCTAGGATGATTTCCCCAAAGCATAATTTCTTTGGAAGACTGAGGATTTTGATTCACATAAAAGGCTTAACTTTTATTTAAAAAAATATATTGTGAACAAATTTAATATATACAAAGATACGGAAAAATAATAGACCTCTGCTTACCTGTCCCCAGGCTCATTTCTGAACTGTGGATTTAATCTGACTCTGAGAGGAATGCATGCTGGCAGCACGTGCTTGGCTCTTGAGACAGAGCATGTCTCCCTTGATGTGTTTACTTAGCACCTACTAAGTGCTGGTTCCTGTGTTGGCCTTTACAGCATAATTTCGCTTTATGGTTTTGGTTTACTTTTAGGATTATTTAGATTTCACTGGTTGGAATAGTTGAGAACTGGACAAAGTAAGAAGCACAGATTTAATGAGGTGGTAGAATCTGGGTTCCAACCAGGGTGACAAATTCCTCCCAGGTTTCCCCCTACTACTCAGATTTAGCACTGAGGATCCAGAATTCCAGGGCCCTCTCATCCAGCCAGCCATTTGCCCACTCAGGGCCCAAGCCCTCTCCCATTTGAATGATTCTTGGAGTGATGTTCTTGCATTTACCAGAACCTAGAAAATAGTGAGGAACTGGTTATTTCTGAACAGACAGGGTAGTTCTTAGTTTTGGAGAATTTATGTCCATTCGGCATTGGATGTTTTATTTTCCAGGTCTCTTCATGTGCTTGTGTGCAATGCTGCAGCTTTTGCTCTGCCGTGGAGCCTCACGAAGGATGGCCTGGAGACCACCTTCCAGGTGAATCACCTGGGGCACTTCTACCTTGTCCAGCTCCTCCAGGATGTGCTCTGCCGCTCAGCCCCGGCCCGTGTTGTGGTGGTCTCCTCGGAATCCCATAGGTGGGTCAGAAGTCACTGTGTTTTCCCTTCACTGTACAAACCTGAATTTGGCAACCTGATTAGGAGTCATCCTCATCTGAAAGTGTGGGTGTACCCAACCTGGCTCACTGAATTTTTTTAGGTCTCTTAGTATTTTGTTTTTGTTTTTTTTTTAATTGTGGGGGATTATTGGGGAGTGTGGCTACAGCTTTGCAGATTGTTTGTACAATTCTACGTCAGGCCCCTTATTGATTTTGCTTCGAGATGGAATAATAATTGATTAAATCTGAATGCCTGACCTTTATTGATTCGCCATTCAACAACTTCAACATTTCACCAAGAAGAATGTGCAGTTATTCTAGCAGGAGAAACAATGCAATTAAAGACTGCGAGATGAAATCCAATTGTTTTATAATGAGAAATTAGGGAATTCAATGCAGACATTAGCTGTGTAATTGTGGAAAGGGAAGCACTGTAGTTAGAACATATTAGAAATCTGGCCATGCCTCTTTTGGTTAAAATTTCAATTAAAACATCAGATGGCACTTCTTTTCTATTACCATTAGGAGAATATTCAATTGACTAAAAAGACATTGGAAAATTTCATCGTATTTTCAGCATACTTGTTTCTAGAGTTGGATAAACAACTATTTGTCTAAAGAGAAGTACTCAGAGAAGACAAAGGGCCTGTGAGGCAAGGCAAGATTCAATCCCTATTTGGGAGATTTTCCTGTGTGGTTGAGAGCTTTTACTCTTAGCAAAGTAGCTGGAAAAAAAATAATGTCTTAAGTCCTGAAATGTTTTAGTGACCCAGAATGAAGCTTATTTTTTTAATCATGCTTCCATAAAATGTAACCCCTGGGACTTGGAGGAGAGAGACCAGCCAAGGGTTAGCCTGAACCCTTTATCACTCCCAAACACAGGGGCTTATGGTATAAGTGACACACGGCAGATAGATTTACTTCTACCATTTTAAATTTATGATGGCTGAAATGAAAGGAAAATGCCAGTAATAATCCTCCCCCGTGTTAAAAGACACGGAACATCTAGTAATTAGATGGTAACAAAATCTGAACATCCTTATCTTTGCAGATCACCCCTGGTTGGTGGAAGAAGAAGGAGTGGGCCTGTGAAGGAGCAGGGAGGCTAGTGTGGGGGCAGGCCAGGAGGGCAAGCTCTGGACATAAATCCACCAGCCCCGATCGTTTGCCAGACGTGGAGGGCAGGCACCATGGGATATGCTTAAATGAGCTAGTGTTTAATGGGAGATGATGTTGAATTGTCAGCTGCTCACTTCCCTTTGTAAATCTGTACCTCAAAGGCTCTTTCATTTGACATCTCTGTTCTCGCCTTCACTGTGGTGTAACTTGTGCCTACTTCAGAGAGCTGAACCCTAATTTCATTTAAAAGATACATCGGAAGGAAGGGTCTTGGTCTCGCAGATTGGATGCATTTTCGTTGATAAGACAAAGCCTTCCTGAAATGCACTATTGGGCACACTCCTGTTTGGTAATGGGCACTGGTTTGCTGCTTTCTTATTGCCCTTTGCCATAGTAAAGGGTACTTTTAAAAAATGTTAACTCCCCCTGGCTGGTTTGCTGATTACACTCATCCTGCATCCCTTAGCACAAGAGAGCCAGTGTGAATATGAGGTAGCAGGGAGGTGGCAGAACCCGGAAAGCCCTTGCTCACTGCTCATGGACCCAGAATCCTAAACTATGTTGTAAAGCGGAAGTGTTGCTATCTAATTACCTCCATAAACCTTGACGGCATCTCTTCGCTGGAGTCAAGACCCCCTGTTAGGGGAAAAATAAAGTCCTAAGTTTGCAGAAAATATTATACTAGACCGCCCCAAGGCAAAATATTTATTAGCCTCCCTGTGTCTTCACTGTATTTTAGTTACTTATCTGGGGTCTGAGTCAGTGAGTTAAGTTTCTGCAAATCTAAAATAGACCATATTAAAATAAAGAACTTGACTTTCTTGCTGTGAAAAACTTCCAGATAACAATTAAAATAGAATGAAGAAGAAACACTGACTGAAACTCAAAATGGCTTGCAGCTGCGGTGGATGCCAAGTTACTACACACACAGACTCCTAATGAAAATTCATTCCTACTCTTTGAACATACCTCCTTTTGTCTACATAGAATCCAACCTAATCATTTCAGTTTAAAAGAATCCTCAGTTAAAAGAAAATGATAAAGAAGCAGTATATAGAGAAGTATAAGCTAGAGATCCCTCAAACAGCAAATGTGAATGTCCAGAGAGCAGATGTTACCATTTTTGTGTGCTGGTGGGAGGATAATTCTATCAAGACATTCATGTTTGGTTTTGTCAATTTTTCAACTTGGAAATGGAAGAGGCGGCTTTTGAAGAGTTGTTTTACTGCCTCTTGAGCTGAGAGGTGAACATGGTCGTTTTTCAGGAAGCCTGCCAGGGCTCCTGAAACCAGAAAGCTCACCCACCCTTCCCACTTCCTGGAGGACTGTCAATACAAGCTAATCAGACCTTAAAAATGGGTTTGCTGCCTGGGAGATCAGCAGGGCAGGAAACCAGGGGGCCCCAGGGCTGGGTAGGGGAGGGCTGTTTGCAGAGGGCAGTCCTGATATTTAGCAGCTGTTCTTCTCCTTGACACCTCCTTGCATCTGGTTTCATCTAATGCCTCATCATGGATCTCCCCTCCCTTGTTTCTGGATTAGGGATTGGGAATGAATGGCTTCTCTCTTCACAGGACTTTACTTGACCCAGTGTTCCCCAGTTGTGAAATCTTCCTGCCTAGTCTTTAACACCAAAGCAAAGAACTCATTCTGAACTTTATAAAATACTGTGAGATAATAATGACTGACCCAAAGGGTCTCAGCCAATCAGTAAATTGTGTCTTTCGAGCAAGGATGGAAACCAAGGTTTCTGTAAAGGAGCCTTGGCCCTTGGCTTGCAATTCATGGCCCATGATCAAAGTTAAGTGTTCTCCTCCGATCTTCTGTACCTGTGTCAGGCAGTGCAATAGGTAGCACATGAGGTGCTAACTGTCCACCTTCTTCCAAGAATGCACAGTCTACCATTGGGAGTAGGTAAACAAAGGACTTGCAATGTAGTGTGGGTCTATCTTATTAAAGACAGAGGCATGACGTATAGCCAAAAGGCAAAGATGTAACCGTTGGGTCTGACAGCTCTTGGAGGGCTGGCAGGGTTTCCCAGCTCTGGGGTAGATGTCATGGACTGGGTCCTAGGGAGTACATGCTTGGTTTCCATGGAAACATGTAGTTCTCTCTGCTTTGCCTGTCTTCTTTCTATCAAATCCCACCCTAAGAAATCATTGTGACAACCAAGAGTAGAAATGTTAGTTAGGGAAGACTTCCTGGAAGAAGTGGCACCTGAATTGGCTCAGGCTAAACAAATATGCCAAAACGATTTTAAGCTTTAGGTAATGAAAGGAGATCAGAAAGTGAGAGTGAGGGTGTTACATTTAGCCCCTGCCTTTTAGAGCTTGTCTGAGTCCTTGATGCTATGTTGTACTGAGAGTGGGTAAAATTTCCTGTCTTGGGTTACTGGGTTGACCACTCAATAGTCTCTTTTTCTAGAACTCTTGTATAGTGGTACCTTATTACTGTGTTGAAATGTTCATAAATAATATAGCTTTCCTGCATAAATATATTTTAATTCTATATGCTAGTGTAACTGTAATAAAGGAAAGAAATGTGAAGCAAAATATCCCGTTTTTCAACATGTAAATGCTGGTGGAAAACTGCAGGCAAGTGCTCAAGTGTTCATGTCCTTCATAAATCATCTGACTCAGGCTACTCACAAATGCAGACTGTTACTGGGTATGTGGCAGATTCTAGCAGCATGGAGTCAAGTGTCACCTCCATCCAAAATCACAAAACCTGAAATTGCATTTATTCTTTATTTTCATGGCTGTTTTACTCTATTCCTGGATATTCAGCAACATTAAAACTGTGCACATATGCAAAACATAGTTGGGCTCTAAGCTCAGACAACTATGTGCAGGCTCTTCATCTGCACAGTGTCCACAGTCTTCACTGAACATGGCTGTCTGCTCAACAGTTCCCATCCCCACTGGCTGTCATGATAACAACAGGGAAAAGAGCCCTCCTGCCTTTTCAAATTTCCTGCTAAGTTCCACTGCTTCAGATGACATTCAGAAGTCTGGGCTCTGCCTGTGGTTTGGGGCCTGGGCAACAGGCAGGCAACAGTCAGTTTCAAGGTCTCAGGCCATATCCAGGGCGATGTTCCTAGCCACAGGCTTTGTGGGTGACTTTAGAATGGCAATGTGTTTAACACCAGAAACTGGATGTCACTTGAGGGATTCCATAGAAGGGATACTTAATTACAATTAAAACATCTATTTCACCTGCTCCAGGATTTCTTAGTTTTTCCTTTTAACTCTGACCGGCAGGTATGAAGGAATAGCCAGATCTCTCTGTAAGGTGAGTTTTATCTTTTGCTTTTGTTCTCTACCACATTTAGCTAGAGGACTCTCCTTTGGCTTCCTTATTACTCATTGCAAATGCCTGGCATTGGTTTAATGAAGCAAACTCGGAGGGGTCCTTAACAAAAATGAGACCATCTAGAAAATTCCTTTTGTTATGATCCCCTACCTTTTTTTTTTTTTTTTTTGGATTTAATCTCTATTTTGTTGTTATTTTTAAAATGAAAGAAGGGAAGGAAAGAAACAAGCAGCTGGTGTTTAACGACTCCGTCAGACCCAATTATAAAACATCAGCTACTTACTTTGATTTGTGTGTGTCCATGCCAGGGGCATACTTGCAAACACTAGACTCTGCCAGAACTCATTCTGGCTTTGTTTACACTTATCTTTTAAACATATAAGACTATTGATGGCAACTCACCAAGGTTATAACCCCTTTATAATCATTAATTTTTAATCTGGCAAAGAGTCTGGGAGGCAGCAAGAATCATCTATATTTACTTGGATGCTCAAAAATGAAAATTCATAGGACTCCAGCGTTGGCTAAAATAACCCAGGAAAGCCCCGTCAAAGGTTAGGAATGTGATATCTTTCTGATTCCAAAAGCAGCAGCCCCTTTATTTAAGATGCTTTTCTCTTTAATTTAATTATCCTTGAACTTCCTGTTGAAGTTTTGGAAAAATATATGTTAGAGGCAGGGGGAGTTCAGCTGATTAAGAGTCTCCATGTGTCGGTTGGGCCTCTGTGGACTCTGTCCTTGGGTCCCATTGGCTTTTATTGTTAAATCACCATTGTTTATTTTTAAGGGACACTTTGTTTCGATGTTTGCACATTTAAGTTTTCAGTCATCTCTACATGATTTGTTAGATTTCTAATAAAAATAAAACCTACATAAGATGTCAAAGTCAGAGATGGGCTGCTTCATGCCATATTTCTTTTCTTTAAAGGTTTACTGATATTAATGATTCCTCTGGGAAACTGGACTTGAGCCGCCTTTCTCCCACTAAGAACGAGTACTGGGCCATGCTGGCTTACAACAGGTCCAAACTCTGCAACATCCTATTCTCCAGCGAGCTGCACCGCCGCCTCTCGCCGCGTGGGGTCACGAGCAATGCCTTGCACCCAGGAAACATGATGTACTCCTCCATCCATCGCAACTGGTGGCCCTACACACTGCTCTTCACCTTGGCCCGGCCATTCACCAAATCCATGGTAAGTGAACTGCCTTCGTCGCGGCAGCTGCCACACCATTGCCTTCATGGAGAGAAAGGTAAGTGAGCCGCCTCCGCCGCGTAGACGCAGCCTGCCGGCTCATGTAGGAAGAAGCTTGTGGAGAAACTCTGGCAGGTGTGTTGTGTCTTGCACTGATGAGTCTGGTCTTGGTAATAACTTCCTCGTCGAAATGGTTTTTTGTATTTCAGTCGTCTTTAGATCACATCCTGAATGTTTCTTGGCATGCTGTATGAAAGATGGGTCTTTTCAACACTGAGTTAAAGACAACAGAACGTTTTGATGGAATAACTTGTTCCCCTTTGACCTAATTGTTTTATTATTATTATTATTTAGCGGGGCTGAGTTTTGTGTTGAGAACTGTGTTTTGTGTTCGTTGGTGAAAACTACGGATTTGTGGATGCTGATTATCAGTAGATGTGGTTCCTTTGTGTTTACTCAAACTGTTTCATGATCTGAATTCATTTAATGGGTGCAAACTGGAGATAATTTGTTGAAGTGCATTTTATTCTTTACTTCCCCAGAGACAAGTTCTTTTGGGTGAATACGGCTAGATTTGGAAATGTTCACACTGATAAATGTGAAGTTTTCAATCTTTGATGGCTGTCTGTAGAACAACCACATCTAGAAACTTCTTCCATGGAAGCATTTTAGTAGCAAGTAGTTGAAATGAGAAAAAAAAAATGCACATTTTACTTAATATATCTGGTATAGTTCTCTTGACATGTTTTTCAAATGTTCATGCCTTTGTAAATATTTTCCTGTTAGTGGACTCTAGTATTGCAATTAAGCAACTTAGCATCCTTAGAAATCAGCCTTTTCCCTACCAATTCTTGACCTCTAGGGATATCTCAGGTGAAAGCACTCTCCTCCAACTTAGTGGGTAAAGGGCCTCATGACCTCTGAATACAGTCTACCTTCTGCAGCTACTCCCATGTACCATTCTTAAACTGGCATTTTTGGATGACTTTAAACCAATGGGAAAATCTTTTGAACTGCTTCAGTATAAAGTCAGTCAGTGCGACTTTTATTCAAATTACCAGCTATGAAGTAAGTGGTGCAGACCAGATCCAAGAGTGGCATTCTTCATCTGAGGGCAAGAGAGAGGGTCTCTCAGAATAGTTTTGGGGGCTAGGTATGGACAGGACTCAAGCCAAATGGAAAACTGGAGTGTGGGATTGGAAACTTAGGTGGAATTGTTTCCATCCAGCCAAGGATCTCCAAGGAAGCAGGAGGTGATTGCTCAGTGAGCACCACACCTGAACTCGTTCTAGCATTACTAGGTGCCTCACAGCCTCTTCTCCCTACGCACAGCTAGTGTATAGTGGCCCCAGCTGCTCACCACCCCCTCCCTTTCTCCTCTCCCCTGCCACGAGAGCCCAGGCATCACCCATACGTGAACAGATGCTAATGCTGCAGCAAGGCAGGCTTGAACGGAGGGAATGCTATAGACCATAGATAGAACAAGGGCTGGTCTTTATGACCCCACATAAAAGGGGTTGGAGAATAACCAGTAAGCCTTAAGAAGCTTTGAAGAAAAGTGAAGATGCTACCAAAAAAAAGTTTTTGGTTAAGTTACTTAGGGAGAGGGCATGCCCATAGAAAATCCTTCCCTTGAGGCAGCAAAGGGATTCAGCATGACTTTAGGTGGTGGAGAGAATGAGAAAGACTGGATCACAACATTGAGCAGCATTTCTGTTCAGGACCCTACTGGTGAAGCCCTAGCTTTTCTCTTTGACAACTGGGATAACTTGAGCAATGCATGTAAGCTCTCTGAGCCTGTTTCTTCACAGCCAAGATGGCAGTGCAGGATCTGCAGAAGTGGAAATAAGGGATATAAAAATTCCTGTGATGATTTCACACTGGCTGTATGGTATGTAGCCACTGGATGGACACATATAGTTATGGAGCCCTTGGAAAGTGGTAATTACAACTGAGGAACTGACTTTTTAATTGAATTTCAGTTCAAATAAACTCAGCTGTACATACCTAATGGCTGCCATGTTGGAAGTCACTGTTGAGGAATGTGCCCAGCATAGTGTCTGTTCTGTTGTGCTTCTTGCTTTGATGGTTGCTGATCTTGTTTTATTAACTTTGGGGAAGATTATTCTCTAAAATGTCACTGCTGCTGGTGGATACAAGCATCACAGGACTGAAGGAATCTGATAATTTGGAGCCTGGTGGTGGTATGTGGGAAGGGGTGCTCTGTCCCTAAACCCAAAGGCTCAGGGAGAGGGCTACTGGCAAAGGACGGAGGGTGTCCAGGTGGAGTGAGCCGAGTTTGGCGATCCCCAACCTACACATCCCCTGGGGAAGTCATTGTGGGGTGGACTGTCCTTGTTCCTGCCCCTGGGTAATTAGAAAATAGTATCTTTGACATGAACAAAATTGTTAAGGGGAAGGATGTCCTAAAAGAACTCTGCAGAGTCTTGTGGACTCCACCCCCTACTCTAGCTTTCTGGACTCTACCCCCTACTCCAGTGGTTGGAAACTACAACTCCCAGCAGTACCAGGGAGAGAATTGCGAAGACTCAGGGGCGGAGCTAAACAGGAGTTCTGGGACATTGGGGGATAAATCGGGCACAATTGGGTCTCTTGCACTCTCACTAGGGAAATGGCTCTGTGGACCTTGTGACTCGGGGCTTTCAGTTAGTTACCAGAGCTCCAAGTCTGCAGAGCTGGTAAGATATTCCAGTTGTTGTTTCCTATTCTTTCCCCCTTTTTGTAAATAAACCCATTTTGACCCTTTTGTGTGTGCCTTCAGTATAACTGAATTTTAAGTGTGCAGGTAAGATCCCATCGACAGGTGGCCCAGTTCACTCTGGGTTGCCCTGGAACAAAAGTACTTTTTCAGATTAGGAAGACTAGAAAATATGGAGCTAAGTTAAATTGTCAGGAAAATCTTTTATATTTATATATTTGGTGATAATTCTCAATCATCAGAGTTCCTTATGACTAGGTTAATAAAAACTTAGAATGAGAACTATGGCTTTATTTGTTGAACCCAGAGCCAGCCATTACTCTTCCATAAACATTAAAGTCTCTGGGTATGCAGAAGAGGAATAAGCATGTTGATTGACCTGGGGTCAGCCTCTTTTACTGGTAGGTCGGACTGGGCTTTCTGGAAATGTCAACCTCAAATTCTGTCCTTCTGTACATTACCTGGCATTGCTTACATTATGGTAAGTTTTTATTAATAGACAAAAGGTAAACTTCTTCCAGTTAATGCAAACATAATTTTGGATATAACCCATGTAGTTGCATCCCTGTTCCCAACACGTGTAAGAACTGGATTCCTGAGTGTCCATGTGGAAGCTTAGCAGTGTCCTCATCACCAGCGGCTTGACAACTAGTGTTCTGTTGTGCTTCTTCCCCTCTTATACATTTCACTTCAGAGAAAGTGTTTTTCTTTTGACATGACTGTTGCTGGAATATACGTTTCTTTGCACAAGGCAAAGGAAACAAGACACACAGCCCAGCCCTGTGCTTTGAGGGCCTGTGTTTGCTTCTCCACGTTAGTCGACTCCCTTAAGTATTAAACAGCAGTATTCTAATATCAACGTCCCTTTTTTATTTGCTGTGACTTGCTGTGACTATGGTGATTTTAGTTACAGTAATTAGGTCACCCTTCATGGAGTCAGGCTATTTTAAGTGCCTCTTTAAGGAATATTGTTGCAGATCAGTAATTTTACAATTGGATGTTCTTGTGCAACTTTATTAAATGTAATCTGTCTTTTAAATGTTGCCCTTTTACAGTTATACATTTCTAATTGTTGCTGTAAATGCATTATCACTTTGAAATTAATTAATTTTTCCATTTTGGCTGCCTGCAGTATAATAATCACTAATGAGAAACTCACAGGGATTAATTCTCAGCACAGCGACCCCTACTGGCCAATCTATGTCTCTGCCACTTCGTCCTGGTGATCCAGAGAAGAGGATAGATTTATTGGTGGTCCTGTGGGAGGAGCTGTTACTCCCCACGCCCCATCCCCACCCCATTCATAATAAAAAAGGAGTAGTTAAAATGATAACATGATTATTTTTAATTACCTTTAAAAAGGATGCAGACTTCAACTTACTGCTTTTGAAACGTGTTGATATAACTGAAGTATGCTGAGAACTTTCTATTATGAGGCCACATCTAGTGCATGTATGCTCATTTATTATTATTATTTTTGTCTTTCTGGCTTTCTTCTTTTATGTAGTTAGTTCATTTTCAAATTATATTTTGCATGTGTCAGTATAGTGAATGTTACATGTTAGTATATATAGTATATTCATATGTGCATATTCCTTATGGCCTTGATTCACAAAGTCAAGCATATTGTATTATTAGGTGAGAGCAAAGGGTTTTTGGCTATTTACAGTCGGTCGTTGCCATATGTTATGCCTTTTAGATTCCTGCCGTACTCTGCAGTAAGATACAAACTGACAGTTAAGGCCAAACACCTATGATGACCTGTCTGTATTAGCATGAGTCTTCATTATTCCTCACAAAAATTTTAAAGTATTAGAATTATTAGCCTTGTTTTGCAATTTAAAAACATAGGGTCGTTACCCAACTTGCCTGGGAACATCCTGCAGACCCTTCATCAGCTACTTCTAAGTCCATTTGCTTTGTCAAATGCACCACAGCATCTCTGCCATGGATGGCTAATTGTGTGGTTATATTTCTTTTAGAAAGGGTTTGAAAGTATCTTCATGAAAATAACCACTCCCTTCCTACACACACACACACATACACACACACACACACTTGCCCCCCCCCTCCCCAATAAGCTTTTAATTCTGGTAAACAGCATCTTAGCTACAAGTTCTAGGCCCCAGCCAGCCCTCTGTGGGTCAGTGTGTCAGTTTGAAGCTGAATACCATCACGTGCTTCTTAGGGTGTTTTGTGCAACCAAATATTTGTGTTGGCAGGTAACAGTAGAAAGAATATCATGTGTTAGGGTAGCAAGAGCTTAGCAGATGTTTTAGGG